ACGTAAGGTTAACTAGCGCCTGATGGCGTTACGCGTAAGATCGACGAACGTTAAACCACCTCTCCCCGCCTCCTCCTCCTCCTCCTCCTCCTCCACTGTATCTACCTCCCCCCCACTGGTGTTACGTACTACACTAACTAGTTACTTCCATCCAGGTCGAAGTTAACTATTAGACTGGCATAAGATCAGGAACTTGCGAGTAACGGCAATGCCGGCTTCCGCTCGTCAGATTATTCGATTGTGCGCATATCGAGAGCGACGAGCCGTTTCCCCCATTAGGGTGAATTCACGCGCGCGGGCGTCTGTCGTTTTAGCGCAGCGTCAGATTTGTCATAAGTTACAGCGCGATATAACCAGCGACACGATGTCCGTAGCACGTCAAATTAAGTCGCAAATGGATCTCTTCCTCCCTTCTCTCTCTCTCTCTCTCTCTCTCTCCTCCCCCTCCCTCCTCTCTCTCTCTTTCTCTTTCCCCTCTCCCGCTCGCACGTCGAATTTATTCCCTCTCGTAGAACAAACGGGGATATTAAACGCGACGCATTCGCGAGCGCTCTTCGAATGCACGCGAATCTGTACTTCCGAATTGTTGTGCGCGCCAACTGCACTTCATGAGCGAGACCCGCACTGCTGGTTTCCCCAAGTTCCACGATATATCTAGCTATGTGTGTGTATGTATGCTTGCACACACACACACACACACATACACACACACACACACACACACACATACACCAGCTTGCTGGAAAACAGATTTTGACATAACGGGCCAGCGGTTAATTTCAGAAAGGGAGAATGAATGCGGTTTATTGACCTCTCTCTCTCTCTCTCTCTCTCTCTCTCTCTCTCTCTCTCTCTCTCTCTCTCTCTCTCTCTCTCTCCCTCTCTCTCTCTCTCTCTCTCTCTCTCTCTCCCTCTCTCTCTCTCTTTCTCTCTTGGCGAGAGCACGTCACGTCACTAAGTGCTCGTTTTAGACTATCGAGCGATATTTTGATCTTGCCCGGCATCGTGGCAATCGAGACGAATCTCGCGATTCGCCATGCACGGAAACGTATTAATTTTGCCCTCACTCAGCTCGACGACGGTCGCATTTCAATCACCGGGAACATTTCAATCGTGCGCAACGCGGAAAGTCGAATGCACCCACGCACGTACGCACGCACGGGTTACACCCGTGGCGCGGCGGAGGCAGACAGGCAGGTAGCAGCCCTTCGAAGCATCGCGGAAGCGGTCGATCACGCGTCAGTGTTACCAGAATCGCTCGTTTCCTCGCACATGCCGCTCTCCCGAAAGACACATCTCGCGAATATCTGCGTGCCGCGCGACACGAGGAATATACGTCCTTTTTGATCCGCCGCGTTTGAGCGCGGCGCGGGTCGCAGACATCGCAGACGACGAGTCGCGGAGCGCGTTGACGCGCGATAATACGCGCACGCATGCACGCACGCACGCACGCACGTACACGCGCGCGAGCGGCGGCGGATTCCACAACGGGACGGAAATTATTTATAAACATCGCAAGGGAGAGACCGTTCCTTGGCCGTCGCGACGTCTCGCGCGCGGTACTGCGGCGAATTTCCGCAGCTGCGGCCAACGCTGCTGGCCGGAATTAGTAGTAGCTGGAGAGACGCCGTCGGCGTGTGGCGGGCGATGGGCAGGGCCAAGTTCCATCCGCGGGAATAAATTTCAAGTCACTTAGCGGGATCGCGAAGCCGAGTTGCCTTTTAACGGCGACCTGCAGTGGCGGAGGTCAGGGGAAAGAAGGCGGCGCGGCGCGATCGCGCGAGCCAGGTGGATTCCGAGCGGATCGATCGATCGATCGTGCGAGCGGGAACCTGCGCCGATCGTCCCTCTGCTTCGCCGGACGTACCGGCCTGTGTGAGGAGCATATTAGACGGCACTTTCCGGGAGTGCTTACTAACGACCGCACATATTTGTCGGATTCGCAGTTTGATGAATGGAAACTGCGCTCTATCTAAACGGAGTTAAACGCGCACGTTGTGAACGTTCTCCGCCGGAGCAACCGAGCTGCACGTTGCGTTTGTTATCGCGATTGAGAGTAAAGTTCGCCTCGAAGACGCTCCCGAGTGAATTACGTTTCGAACTAATCGGACGCGAATACATATGTGTGTGGTGTGTGTGCGTGCGTGCGAGCGAAGAGATAACCCGATTATTTCCCTTCTTTCCTTCTCACTCTTTTGTTTCAAGTTCTCCTCGTTACGATACGAACAACGACGACGAGGATGTCCGGGGATGTATCGAGGAGATCGTGCAGTTGATTGCCGTATTAACAATTAATCGTGTAATTTGATGCCCGTTTTATCGGGACGTTTACGATAACGGATGCGGATAAATGCGCAAATGTAATAGACGAGGCGAATAATAGAATACAATGCAGTATTAATTCCATATAATGAATTACGCATGCAATATCACGCGCGGACAAATTTAATTGGATTATACATTTAGTAAAAGTAAGCATGCGTAATGAAAGTTAAGCACTAGGTCTCGCCCGCGGCAAGAGCGGTCCATTATGAGCACGTAACTTTAAGTAGCCCCCCGCCGTATGCGTGCAGAATGAACGGCATTAGTCTTTTTCGAGGCATGGCTTATCCCGAAGGAAGTAATCCTGGTGCGCAACATTCAGTGATAACGCTGAATAATAAAATAATGTATCACCTCCTTCTTTCCCCCTTCCTCTCTCCTCTTTCTCTCTCTCTCTCTCTCTCTCTTCTCTGTCCCGCTTTCTCTATTCGACGAACCACGTTCGCCGGTATTTAAAATTATTACAGTCGCTATGAGACAAAATAATTGTGCTCGCAAGCACATTAGCGGTATAAAAAATTGCGGGACAATGAGAAAGACGGATATTTATCCGGATTCTTTGCGGATTCCTTCCCACAAGATTAGAGACAGGGAGAAATGAGCATATATCGAAAGAAACACACACGCGCTGCGAGATCCGAGTAAGTCCGCAACGCCTCGGCCACGGCTTGGCGGAGAAACAGACGGAATTGACAGGCCACGTTAAAGGAGATACATCCGGGAACAAATTCTATACGAATTTGCAGCGATCGATGTTGGTTTCCTGCCAACGCCATCAGGCTCTGATCATAAGTGCAAGAAACGATACAAAGCGATAACGATAAATTACTCGTCATGGTGTACCTGCCGCTCTTCTCTTTCGCTCAGCAGCGATAGCGCGAACCAAGTCGCGCGATCGCCGCATCGTGGCCCTTCGGTTTATACGCGATTTATATGTACGTTATCAAGGTTATTAAGTTCAAAGTACCAACCTTAATATACCTTGGATGTACCTAACTATGAACATTTTTATTGTTTCGGTCTTCAAATGCGAATATTGGAACTTTCAATATAAAATATACACGCAAATATACGTTCAAGAAAATTTCAATATTGCTGTTGAAAAATCAAGGCAATTAGAGCGTCCAGAGTTGAGCACGTGTCCACACTTTTACCTTAATAGACACTTTAACGGATCGAGCAGCACGACTGAGCGCCGGAAACGAGTCGAGCTGTCCTCGAGGAAAATTTGTAAACGGAGCATTGCTGTCGGGCCAGAGACTTCTCACTACCAAAACCGAAATCCCTCTCTCTCTCCCTCTCTTTCCTTCTCCTTCTCTCTCGGATGGGCGATACGTGACAAATCTCTTCGGATTCCTTCAATCTTTCTCGACGGGAAACACGCTTCTCTTCGCGGCGAAGGGCTTCGCGGAGAGGGGGAGAGGGAGAGAGAGAGAGAGAGAGAGAGAGAGAGAGAGAGAGAGAGAGAGAACGCGAAACCCTGCCGTAACCCGAGTCGCAGCCAGCCACCCCCGTCTCAGGCCGAAGCGAGCTCTCGAGCTCGAGGAAAGCTCAGGGCGATTACATCGAATTCTTTCCCCGGAGCAGGCCGCCCGCTATCGGCCACCCTATCTCGTCGCACCCTTCCCTCCGTCGTCGTCCAACGTGTCGTCCTCCTCTCCGCCTGACCTCTCGCCTCACGCAGCCCCGTTCGAGTGTTTACTCGCGTGCTCGAGTTCTGTCAGTATCACACGCTGTCCGCCAAACAAATCGATCCCCTTCACCCAGTTCGCGTGTGCACGGGATTTTCGAGACGTGTGCACGGCACGGCACGGCACGGCACGACGCGACGCGCCGCTCGAGCGATTCCTCATCGTCTTGTCGAGACGAGATGAAAGAGTCGTCAAGAGCGATGCGAGTCACAGTCGTAAATCGGCGAGTCGGAGAGCCGAAGTGCCGAGAGCTCGCGTCATCCGCCAGCGCCGCGAGATCGCAAACTCGATAACGGGCCGTACACAGCACACAAGCAAGATGTACATTCACTTGCGACACCGCGTACACTTGCGTAGCCGGACCATGATGAAGAGTCGAGCTTCGTGTCGTTAGCCGCGTAATTAGCGCGAGCGTGATCAGCCGCAGGGTCGCTTTCGAGCGCTTTCACGCGTCTTCGAACGATCCCTCGCAGCGGTATCCGCGAACGCGCGCGGCGCGGCACGGCGCGGCGCGGCGCGGCGCGGCGCGGCGACCGAGCGGTAATCCACGTCGCGACGCGGACGCGGACGGAAGCGTCCGGGAACGGCTATAAATGGATCTTGATAGACGTTCGACCCTTCCGCGGGGGTAATTACACGAGAGCAGCGTAAGCATCGGGCAGATTCTGGGGGATTCTCTACCCTCCGTGCGATCACAGCGCGTTCCACGACCGCGATCGGTCGAAGATCGAGAGGAATCCCTTCGGCAATTCGATCGGACATTACGCTCGCCATCCGGGATACACCGGTCAAAAGGGGAGAGCACGCACAAAGGCAAACAAAGGCGTACATCGGCCAGGCGGACGCGCGGCCAGCTGCGCCAGCTCGGCGGGTGAAAAGAGGGTGCCTCTGGCAGGCGTTGCGCTGCGCTGCGCTGCGCTGCGGTCTTGGCCGCACCGGCGGAGCGGATGGTCATTGCATCTCTCAGGACTCGGGCGCGTTACTTACATGTCCAAGGATCGGCCACGTTGAACGCCTGGCTTAGGTACCAAGAAGGGTGATCGCGCGAGCGACGACGACGAGCCGGTCGTCCAGCAACGCGACGTGGTGCGAGCAATATGAGAGTATGCGTGTTGTGACGTCCCGACGACGACGCTGCTGCTGCTGCTGCTGCTGCTCCTGCTGCTGCTGAACGGCACGCACGCACGCACGCACGCATCCACACGCAGCTGCGGTCGCAGTATCTCGCGAGTCACTGCGCGCACAATTCTCCGTCACCGTTGACGCTTCTCGTGCCGTCAACGAGCACCACGATCGTCGTCGTCGTCGTCGTCGTCGTCGTTATCAGTTACGTGGACATCGTTAACGTCACCTGCTCATGGCTCACTCGGGACTTCGATGCGCGGGGTTAGTTCGTCACAACACAGAGTTTCTTCGACACCGGCTAGCCAACGCGTCGGGAAACGCGCGAAATGTGCTCCTCTTCTCGTCCGAGGCTCGCGCGTCGCACGATTGGCGGACCGATCGCCGAGGGAGAGAGTGATAGAGAGAGAGAGAGAGAGAGAGAAAGAGAGAGAGAGAGAGAGGGAGAGAGAGAGAGAGAGGGAGAGGGAGAGAGAGAGAGAGAGAGAAAGACGCTAGTATCCCGGGTTTTCACAGCGCGAACGAGCCCTTCCTTCTCACCACTGTCACCCGGACAACCCCTTTTTTCTCAGCCGGTCGGTTGGCCACCGAGCCGGGAAAGGGCGAAGAGTGAGGAAGGGCGAAAGCAGGCTCTGTGGTGGCTCGCGGTAGGTCTGTTGTTTGTCCGCTCTACTCGCAACACCTTCGCTCTCGCGATTTCGACCCCCGGAGGTTCTCGCTTGTGTCACGGACGAGCGACGTGCGACCCGTGTATGAGCGCGTGTGTGTGTGTGTGTGTGTATGTACAAATGTATGTATTATATATATATCTGTTGGCTGGCGAAGCCGTCGTGCGCGCGACCAGCGACACGGGCCTCCTCACAGACGTTGGCGAGCACTCTGCACGAGCTCTCTCGGCCGGGGATACACGAACGGTACGAACGGTACGAACGGTACGAACGGTACGAACGAACGAACGAACGAACGAACGCAGTAGTAGCGGACCGAACGGGGCGGCCAAAACGCGTCGGAGAAGGAGTAGGAGCGGGCGGTAGAGAGGAGTCGGATGCGACGTAGGAGGAAGGAAGCGAGGCGGAGAAGGTGGCGGCGACGGGAGCAAGGGGAGATCGGGACGGCGCAGGGGGTGAGAGCAACGTAGGGGGTTACTGGGGATGGGAGCGACGCGGGTGGTGATGGCAATCGGGGGTGGCTCGCCAAGCCCGGTGGTCTCGCGTTCGCTCGCTCGCTCGTACGTTCTGCTAGTCGCTCGCCAGTCGGCTCGCTTTCTCGCTCACCTCTGTCGCCGCCGCCGCCGCCGCCGCCGCCGCTGCCGCCGCCGCCGCCGCTGCCACCAGCGTTGCTTGCGCAGCACCCCATCGCCGTTACTGCCACCACCGCCAGCCGCCGTCGTTGCCGCCGCCGCCGCCGCCGTCGCCACCACCACCACCCGCCGCCCGCTACGACCCGGCCAAACCCAGACCCAGCGCGGCGTAGGTACCGCGAGCTCGCGACTCGAGCTCCAGGCCACCCCAGCTGCTCGTTCCCCACCACCCGCCGTGCATCCCCTTCCGTTCTTCAGTGCTGTATGCAGACGTGGCGGCGCCTCGGCCGCGGAACGTTACCGGAACGTCGCGTCGCGGGAGAACGCGCGAATCGACCAATTGATCCAGTAATGAGCGCGCGGATCGCCGCTGCTGATGGGTGGGACGGTGCTTGCGCCGCGGGCGCGACGCACCGCGACGTAGGTCGTACGAGAGACATGGAAATGCCGCGCTTAATTGCGGTCGCATTCGCGACGAACGGACGGACGACAGTGGGAACAGGCGAAGAGCTTCTATGGCCCGAGGTCTCTCTCTCTCTCTCTCTCTCTCTCTCTCTCTCTCTCTCTCTCTCGATAGCCACGCTGGTCGACGACATTGACGAATCAAGAAGCGCCGGCCGAGAGATCGAGATGAATGTTGAAGCACCTCGCGCACCTCTTTTAATCTTAGATATGTTGATAAATGATATTAGGTGTGTGAATTAATTCGGTCCGTTTTTTTTCCAAAAAAAAACTTTAGTATGAAAAAACATGAAAAAGCATACTAATCAAAGTATTTGCCATCGCTTGCTATTATTTTTTCCCATCTGTCTGGCAGTTGTTGCATTCCGTGACGGTAAAACGACTCGTCCTTCGAAGCGATCCATTCATTGAGCCATTTCTCTATTTCTTCATAATTGTTGAATTGCTGGTTCGCAAACCCGTGTGCCATCGATCTGAACAAGTGATAACCGGATGGAGCAATGTCTGGTGAATACGGCGGGTGAGGTAAAACGTCCCAGCCAAGTGCTTCCAAGGTGGCCTTCACAATTTTTCCAACATGTGGCCGAGCGTTATCGTGCTGGAAGATCACTTTGTCGTGTCTCTTTGCATATTCCGGCCACATATTCTTCCATGTGTTGTTTAAACGGATCAATTGTCGTTGGTAAAGTTCGGCAGTGATGGTTTGGCTCTGTTTTAATAGTTCATAATACACTACACCCTTCTGGTCCCACCATATACAGAGCATTACTTTTTTGTCGTGAATATTCCGCTTTGGTATCGATGTGGATGGTTTTCCTGGGTCGCTATGGATTTCCTTCGTTTGGGATTATCGAAATATATCCACTTTTCGTCTCCAGTCACAATACAATGCAAAAAACCTTTTCTCTTTTGCCTGACAAGCAAGATTTCAGACATGGCTTTTCGCCTCTCGATGTCTCTTTCCTTCAGTTCGTATGGCACCCATCTTCCTTCTTTGTAAATCTTTCCTATGCCTGCCAAACGCACAGAAATTGTTGATCGATCAACATTCAATAATTGCGCGAGCTCATGTTGCGATTGACACGGATCTTCATCGATTAGCGCCTGCAATTCCTCGTCCTCGAACTCCTTCGGCTGACCTGGACGAGGTTTGCCATTGACACTGAAATCATCACTTTTGAAACGTCGAAGCCATTCTCTGTATGATTTATCGGTGGGAGCACTTTCACCATAAGCTTCTACGAGCATTCGATGAGCTTCAGCGGCTGTTTTCTTCAAATGAAAACAGAAAATGAGAACTTCCCGGAAATGATGCTTTTTTGGCACGAATTTCGACATTTTCGAATCAGATAAACACGATGTTATTGTTACAAATCTAAACGTTTACCAACTGAATATTATTGCTAGATATGAAAACTAAAAAATAAAGCCTTTTGCAGACATCAGAGGTTAGAAAATTACATAGTACAGCAATTGACCGCCAGATGGACCGAATTAATTCACACACCTAATATATGTATACAGTGCTGCCGATATGGCAAGCGGGCGCCGGTCGACAGATGCTCGCTGGGAAGGGTCGCATGCGTGCTTCACGGGAATTGTATATCTAATGACAAAATAAGAGTCGAAGATCGAGGCGAGTGCGATAGTTTCGTGCGAGATAAGCGATCGTTTCCTCCTGCAGTGCCGTCGTATCGTCGTCTCTTCGCATCGCGGATCGCGTTTCGGCGAGGATATAACTTCCGGAGGAGACGCGAGACGCACTTGATTTCGGGAGGAGCGTGCCGAGCGCGTTTCTCTATCCCTCCCTGTCTCTCCTCCTCTCCTCGCTCGGAGGAAGGTCTCGTATTAAATCGGGATCGTATCGGGAGGTAACTGGATAAGGTCGGATAGAAATCCCATCGGAATATATTTGGATCCATACAGATTTCACTCGATACCATAAGTTCCTATATAGAATTTTTCGGCGTGGTGACAGATAGGCAAAACCTGCACGCGCGGTAGGTAGGCAGGGAGGGGGTAGGAAAGGGAGGGCGGCTGAGAAACCCGGCGAAGCCGACGCCGATGAACTCCGCGGAGACTCAGGGGTGCGGACCGACGGAGATATTTTTATGAAAAATTCAGCTCGCACGTTTGGCGAAGAATTTTTTAACGAGCGACGTGGTAAAAAGTTTGCTACGAATTGGAAATTCCGACTGCATTAGCGAACTTTCGCGTTCGGGATGTGCGCGCGCGCGCGCACGCGCTCGGCTCGGCTCGGCTCGACTATTATACGCTAAGAGAGCGTCGTGCGCGCGCGAACAGTCAAGAACGAACGTTTTAGAGGGAAACAAAAAAAGAAGGAAAGAGAGAGAGAGAGAGAGAGAGAGAGAGAGAGAGAGAGAGAGAGAGCACTGAAGAGAAAAGGAAAGAACGTCGGAGACATTACTTGACCCAGTTCCTCGCCCCTTAGTTGAGCCGCGCTTATTTCGCGCTTCTACGTAAATGGGCCTCTCTTAAAACGGCCTAGCAATCAAATACATACGTATAAATGGACGTATCTCCGCGTCTCTCAATGGGGATTTTTACGGCGGGAGAACACGATCATGTTCGCGCTCGCAAAGTGGCACTTGGTTATGCGATTGAGAATTGTAAAATTGTAACGCGACTCGAACGCATCGCATTTCCATCGTTCTTCGCTACGAAGCCAACTCGTTTACACACATGTAACGTCTTACGCGCGTGCGTTTCGCGTGCTCGGTTGACTTTTCTTTCCTTCCTTCCTTCCTTCCTTCCTTCCTTCCTTCCTTCCTTCTTTCCCTCCCGTTCACCATTAGCTTGTTTCAATTTATTCGTGGGAGAATGAGAGAAAGGGGGAAGGAGGGAGGGAGAAAGACAGCGAAAGGGTGCGACGCGCGGCAGAGGCCAATAATAATTATCCACGCGAAACGGGAGCGTACCGTGAAAGATCGCTTAACTATCTGAGCAGGAGTTATCGATTCGTACCGGGGAATTTGCCACTTGAATTAATCAGGTAACGAGTCACAAAGGTGGACTCACCCCCCCCCCGGATATTGAATAATTAGTGCGCAGCGTGGAAACGTTCCTTATACCGCGGGTCGTGTACGGGAAACTCGCGGAATTAACAAAGAACATGCATTAAGGAGGAAAAGGTAACGATAGCGGGAAAGGGAGAGAAAGAGAGAGAGAGAGAGGGAGGAAGGAAGGGAGGGAGAGAGAGAGAGAGAGAGAGAGAGAGAGAGAGAGAGAGAGGGAGAGAGAGTGAGAGAGAGGGAGGGAGGGAGAGAGTGAGAGGGAGAAAGAGAAAGCCCGGGGCCCGATATTACTTCATTTTGCAACGCGCACCCTCGACATCGCTCGACGTTGATCTTTCCTTTGCGGTGATGTCGAAAGAGTTTACGCTCTTTGACGTAGTAACGACGAACCCGCGACGCTGACGGAGGGAACGGAACACTGTAATTGGCCGGCGTGCTGATGACGGTCTATCGAACTGCGACGATTGTTGTTTTCCCGCGAAACATCGCAAAGCCAAACGCGTCGCGATCGTTTCAGCGTAACCGCAAGCGCGCTAAATATTCCGTTTGAATAAATAATCGCGCCTCGCGAATCGATCCGACGCGGCAGCACCACGTCCGCGTTGA